CCGGGAGCGGCCACTGCACTCCAGTCTGGGCAACCAAGTGAGACTCCAACTCAAAAAAAACCAAAAAAAAAAAAACACCCCCCCCCAAAAAAAACAGTGGAGCAGAAACCCATAGGATGAGAAACTGAACTCTAATGGGTTGCTTAAGTCTTCTATGTTGGCTCTGAAAGATTTCAACCTTCTGGTTGCTCCTATTTTATAACTCCCAACTTTTCATCTTATAGTAATATTTTATTTCCTTTTCTATGTCAAAAAACACAGATTAATAGAGAATTAAGTAAAAACATGGGTCATACATCCTCCTCCTTAATAGTACTGTACTGTGATGGGCATGGTTGCTTCAGTATTTCCTCCCACTGGCCATCTTCAATCAGTTCTTGGTCCACGTCCTCGGAAGGCAGATCCTAAAGCAGAGATAACACCAACTGTCACTGGAACTGTTTAGTGTTTACAGAGTACACGTTGTCTCAGCAACAGAAGAAATGTGGCATCTCAGTCTTCACTAGTCCTTCCTGTTTACCATTAATTTTTAGAGCTTTAAAAGCAAACCCAATAAAATTGTGAAGACAACTCTATATGGCTCATAAAAATTGATGAAATCGTCCTAACTTCATTACCCTGAACAGGGTTTAAAAAGAAAATATTTTTTGGCTGGGCATGGTGGCTCACGCCTATAATCAGTACTTTGGGAGGCTGAGATGAAAGTGTGGCCTGAGCCCACAGGTCCAAGACCAGCCTGGGCAGCTTGGCAAGACCGCATCTCTATAATAAATCAAGAAATTAGCTGGGCGTGATGGCACGAGTCTGTAGTTCCAGTTACTTGGAAGGCTAAGTGGAAGGATCACCTAAGCCCAGCAGGTAGAGGCTGCGGTGGCTGTTGAGCGTGCCACTGTACTCTAGCCTGGGTGACAGAGTGAGACTCCGACTCAAAAAATACATATATATTTTAAGTATTATAAATTTATTTAAGGAAGTGGCTCTGACAGCAGATACTTCTAATCTCTCAATTACATGAGATATTAATTCCCTCACTTTCAGAGTGTTATAGTCTTTGGGTAAGTATGCAAGTAAGCCTAATTTTAAAAACAGACAACAACAACAAAACCTATTGTATTCCAAAGTTCTAGAATTTTGCCCATCTTATAGTCTGTATGTTAGGTATTATAACAATAAGTATATCTTCTATGGCCAAGCATTAAGACATCAGGCCCAGAAATGGACCAAAATATTTTAAAATCAGATATTTCCTCCTAGTTCAAGGAATACAATAATTATTTTTGTGGTTAAAATAATAGGTATAATGCTTGAAATCCTAACAGTGGTATATAAATCATTAAGGTGTCCATTATAAATCCATACTGTAAACAGAGATTTTTTAAAAATGGCTCTGACAAACTCTTACCTCTTCTCCTATAATTGTTAGTTTGGGAAATTTCCGTGCCAGTGAAGAACATATGCTCATCTGTACCAATCGGTCAGCTTTGGTCTGCAAGTCTGTTGCACAGGTCTGTAACAAAGAATGTAAATTTTAGCAGAATTATTGTGAAAAAAGTTGTCCTCTCATTTCTTGTGCATGAGTATCTATATAATTTAGATGACGCTATCAGTTTTTAGATTCGCAAAATTTAACACCAAATGAGTCAACTAGCTTAGTTTTTTTCAAAGGATTAATAGTGGTTAAAGTTTGAAAGTTTGAAAAGGAGTTTTTCAAATAACTTAGAACATCTTCACTGTTTCAGAAATTCCTTATCTCTAGACATCAATATTTTGCTTAAACAGGTTAAGAGATAGGATATTTATAACTTTCCAAAGCAAAGCTAAATGTCATATTTTCATTATTTAAAAGGTGTTCCTTAAATGGATACTTCTATAGCCTCCCCTTACTAATCCTAATAATGCAAGAGGTTCTTAAGACAATTCATTGGTGTATAAAAATAATTCCGATTTCTAAAATATAAAAAACATGAAAATGAGCCAGGCACAGTGGCTTATGCCTGTAATCCCAGCACTGTGGGAGGCTAAGGTGAGAGGACTGTCCAAGCCCAGGGGTTTGAGACCATCCTGGGCAACTTGGCGAGACCTTGTCCCTACAATAAATCAAAAACTTAGCTGGGTGTGGTAGCACACACCTGTGGTTCCAGCTACTTGGAAGACTGAGGTAGAAGGATCAACTGAACCCAGCAGGTTGATGCTGTGGTGGTTGTGAGTGAGCCACTGCACTCCAGCCTGGGAAACAGAGTGAGACTCCAATTCAAACAAACAAAAAACATGAAAATGAACTGCAGCAATATTTAATATTTGACTCACCTATGGCACCCTCACTCAATCCATATGTCAGATAGTCAAGCCAGTGAAAGACAATGGAAAATTTTGAAATTGACAGCTACAACCTCCTTTATTATGACATGTTGCAATTTATATATGCTTGGTTAAGTGGATCTACAGATTATATTAATAGTAGAATTTTAACAATATTTTGCAATGAGATAAGGAGTGATCATGAAAAGCAAACTCTTTTATGCCTCACTGAAGTTTTCTGGTTACCTCAGTGCAAAGTACTATTCTGTAAGAATGTAGGCTCCACAAAGGAGTTTTATTCTCTAAGAACTGTGCCTGGCCCACAGTAGTTGCTCTCTAAATATCTGTTGAATAAACCTACTTAAAGGAATTGCTGAATTTGAAGATTAATGATATATCAATGAAGTTTGTAGAACACTGCTCTACAAAAAAAAAAAAAAGACATTAAAAGTCATTCAACTATATGAGGAAAGCTACTCTAACTCTTTTCTTCTCTAAGATAAATACTTGGTACTCTTTCTATCAACATGGTACCAGGCCTCATCACTCATATCTTGTGTGATAATCTAACTTTACCCTGTTTTTTTAAAGTAAGCTATTAACAGATGGATATAAAGTACTAGAAGTGCCTGATCAGTATAGAGGACAATAAAAACACTATTTTTTTTTTCTAACTTGGACACTATAGCTCTGTCACTCCTTAGCTTTCTAGTCTTTAAGGTTTACATGTAATGTAATCAGAACATAAAATCAACTTAAAATAAGTGATGCTAAGGACAAAAATATGAAAGGAAAAGATCTAAAATATTGGCAATGTTAGCACAGTGAAAGATTTCTCTTACTTCTTGCTATTTTTTCCATTTCTTATTTTCCATAAAAGAAAAAATTTTATTAAAAAGACAGTAAGAGCAGTAGTCTCTGAAAGCAGCTGTATTACACTGTTGGCTTATCAGTGAGCATTTCTGGGTCAACTAAAACCTCTTTCTCAAAGAAATTTAAATCAAATTTATTTCTTATAACTTTAACATTAACATAGAACCTTATATTATTCCTGTTATAATTTCCTGTTGGATTTGGTCCACTAGTCTTAGAGATTACAACTATTTTGAACACTTACTCTGTGATCAAATATATTAACTAGCCTTCTGAGCTTCATCTTATGAAAAATTTGATGTGTGTTTTCTACATCATCCTCTTCCACAAATTTTTGAGACAATACATTCAATAACATTTTTAAACTGCATATACTATTCTTTAAATCTGATTTAAAGAGTACAGTACAGAGTCAAGAGCAGTGTTCTGCAATCTGCCAACAATGATCCTTTTCTAGGTTGAAAATGAATCACGAATTTAAATTTCTGGGTAATATTTTTCACTCGGTTATGAATATACCTAATAATGGCTCAGGATGGGAGATGTCACCTATATAACTATAAATAACTTGAATCTTTTTTTAAATCACAAAATAACAAATGTTTTGTTAAAATCAAGATATTCTATATCTAGTTCCTATATGAGAGTCCCATAAATCTATCAAAAAAAAAAAAAGGGCTGGGCACAGTAACTAGCCTAAAATCCTAGCACTTTGGGAGGTTGATGTGGGAGGACTACTTGAGCACAGACGTTCTAGACCAGCCCAGGCAACATAGTGAGACCTTATGTCTACAAAAAAAACTTTTTAGCCAGACATGGTGACTCATGTTTATAGTCCCAGTCACTATAAGCATGAGGTGGAAGGATCATCTGAGCCCAGGAGGTTGAGGCTGTGGTGAGTCATGATGCCATGATGGTACTCCTGCCTGGGCAATAGAGTGAGACTGACTCAAAAAAAAAAGGAAAGAAGATTTATTTCACTTGTTCTTATTGTGATTTTAATTCTTAATGTTAATGTTAATTTTATTTATTTATTTTTACTTTTTATTTTTTAATTGAAAGTAAAAAACACATTTTTTAAATTAAAAATTTTTAAATTGTGGGGTACAATTCAGGTTAGGTATACAAATTAATTTTATTTATTTATTTTGAATCGGAATCTCACTCTGTCACCCAGGTTGGAGTGCAGTGGCACGCTCACAGCTCAACACAGCCTCAAACTCCTGGGCTTAGGTGATCTGTCTTGGCTTCTACAGTGGCTGGCACTACAGCTGCGTGCCACCATATCCAGTTAATTTTTTAATTTATGTAGAGACAAGGTCTTGCCATGTTTTTCAGGCTGGTCTTCAACCCCTGGGCTCAGGCAATCCCCTTGCTTCTGCCTTCCAAAGTGCTGGGATTATAGGCATGAACCACTGAGCCCCATGTTATTTTTAATTTTTAAAAGCAGTTGTGTTGAATGTTTTATAATTAACTCACATAAACTTATTTCTAAGTTTTTTTTACTCATATATATGGCTCTTATTTTTCTTATCGTAACAACTTTTAAGAATTTTAAATCATTAAAGTGCTAATGGTAAATCTTATCCTGCAATTTTCTCACTTGGAAGAAATTACAGTATAATCTATCTTAAAGATTATAATAAGGATTTCAAGATTAAAAGTCAAAATATGGAAATTTACATTTAAAATTTGTAATGTGGGCCAGGTACGGTGGCTCAAGCCTGTAATCCCAGTACTTTGGGAGGCCGAGGTGAGAGGATTGCCTGAACCCACAGGTTCGAGAACAGCCTGGGCAACTTGGCAAGACCTTGTCTCTACAATAAGTCAAAAAATTAGCCAGGCAAGGTAGGGCACACCTGTAGTTCTGGCTACTTAGAAGGCTGAGGAAGAATAATCGCCTGAGCCCAGCAGGTTGCTGCTGGGGTGGCCATGAGCATGTCACTGCACTCTAGCCTGGGCAATGGAGTGAGACTCCAATTAAAAAAAAAAATGCGTAATGTGAAGTAATAACCAAATCCTATGGAAGATTGTATTTTATTTATTTATTTTTTTTGAGTTGGAGTCTCACTCAGTTGCCCAGACTGGAGTGCAGTGGCCGCTCCCGGCCACCGCAGCCTCGACTTGCTGAGCTCCAGCGATCCTTCCCCCTCAGCCTTCCAAGTAGCTGGAACTACAGGCATGTGCTACCATGCCCAACTAATTTTTTGATTTATTGTAGAGATGAGGTCTCGCCAAGTTGCCCAGGTGGGTCTTGAACCCGCGGGCTCAGGCAATCCACTCACCTCAGCCTCCCAAGGCGTGGGATTACAGGCTGAGCCACCAAGCCTGGCTAAGATTGTATTTTAAATTGGAACACATGCCTGCTATTTCTCTTAAGAATTAACTATCACTATAAACTTTCTGATAATTTACTTAAGTCTTTAATTACTATATTGGAACAAAAAACCTTGTTTTGGGCTTCTCTTCTACAAGGAGAAAGTATAAGGAATATTTATTTAAATGCCAGATTTTAGCAAACATGTCATTCACTAAGAATTGCATGATTTTGCATATAAATAGATTAAGATTTGAAGCTAAATTATAATACTCTGGGGCTGGATATTAGTCAGAGGACCCAGCTATACAAATAAAGATCTTGGATTTAGGAAGAGGAGTAATTTTCTTTTCTTTCTTCTTTTTTTTTTTTTGAGTCAGAGTCTTACTCGCCCAGGCTGGAGTATAGTGGCATGCTCACAGCCACCACAGCCTCGACCTGCTGGGCTCAATTGATCCTTCCGCCTCAGCCTTCCAAGTAGCTGGAACAACAGACATGTGCCACCATGCCCAGCTAATTTTTTGATTTATTGTAGAGATGAGGTCTCACTAAGTGGTCCAGGCTGGTCTCGAACCGTGGGCTCAGGCAACCCTCTCAACTCAGCCTCCCAAAGTGCTGGGATTATAGGCATGAGCCACCAGGCCCAGCCTGAGGAGTCATTTTCTTTTATTTCTTTCTTTTTTTTTTTTTTAATTTGAGGAGTCATTTTCAAAGAAGAAGTGGAACCCATTTGAACCAAGGGTCTTGTAGTCTCCATAAGGGTGCTATAATTATAATTATTTTAACTATTAAAGTTTATCCAAATTTTTACATCCTTTAACTAAACCCTAAGGAACAAAAATAAAGTTGTTATAAAATGGGAGTTTGAGAACCTTCTCCACGATACCCAGGTCTCCTTCAGCAATAACACGTCTGACTATCGATCCTGCCTTTTGAGCAATAGAATACGCTGAAGCTACCAACCGCATCAACACAGTGTGCCTGGAAGCCATAATAAGGCCTAAAAAGAAGACAAGAAAAACGTGTTGTTAGTTGCAAAGCTAACTACTGATTTTATTTACTTGAATTTAATTCAACACATATTAATCAAGTGCCTACTTAGGACTGCTCCCATTAGTTGAATAGATTATTCAATATTTACTAAAAGAGCCTTGGAAAAAACTCTATTTCAGCATTAACTCTCTCAGTAAATTCTATAATTGTCTTTCTCTCTGTAGATGAGGCATTTCAAAACATAGGAGAGGAGGGGAACCTAAAAACCATGGAATTAATTTTTTGGAGGACGGGCCCCTTGTAGTACAGTTCCCCTCCTAGGTAAGTGTTTTAGGAACCCATCTGCATCAGTGTACCAGCTAGCATTGTTGTGAGAGGCAGTGTTTGGCTTCAGTGAATTTTTTTTTTTGAGATTCTTTCAACCTATTCACCCATTTCATGATGGTTGATTTATGAGTGCACCTGCCCACAGCATGCTGAGTGTTCAAGTGGCATGGCCCCCATGCCTCACCCTTCCTGTTTACTCAATCTCACTGCAGCAACCTTTTTTTGGTTTCCTCTGATGAAAAAAGTCTTCAAAGGAAAGATGTGGAAGAGGTGAAACAAAAAAATGGCATCAACGATCCTAACACTAAAAGCCATCAAAATTGACGAGTTCAAAAACTGTTTTAGCTGTGGAAAAAGCATCTTGATAAATGTATTGCATCAAACAAAGAGTACTTTGAAGGTGACTGACATTTAAACATGTAAGAATACACAATTTTTTATAAATAAATTCCAGGTTTTTTTGTCTCCCCTTGTGTGCGTGTATGTGTGTGTGTGTGTGTGGATGTGTGTGTATGTGTATGTGTATGTGTATGTATTATATAAAGGACATTATTAACCTTGACCCAGCAAATCATTGTTTTACCTTCAATTTCTGATTGAATATTTGATTTGGTGAGCCTTTTAACCTCTTTACATCTATTCTCTATCATCCACACTCTATTCGTAGGAATGATGGACCATCACTAAAACAATAAACAAATGAAATGTTTGAAACCCTTCAGAAGGAGGATGAAATGGAAATTGATGTAAGGTAAGGGATACCACACTGTGACTAATAGGTGTCTGGAATTAAGATGAAAATAAAATGAGTTTCATATAGTTGACTCTTGACAACACAGGTTTGAACTCTGCGGGTCCACTTGGGGAGTTTCTTCAACAAAATCCATATAGAAAAGGATGTAAAACATTTGTACACGAGGACCAACGTTTCATATATGAGGGCTCTGCAGGGCCAATGGTGGGACTTCAGTGTGTGCAGATACTGGCGTACCCAAGGGTTCCTGGAAACAATCCTCCCTGTATGCTGAAGGATGACTGTATTTGAATTCCATTTATCTTATTATGTCATAATTAGGCTAGGTTAATTTTCTTGGCATACTAGGTGTTATATGTGAAATAAGCCAGTTGTGATTATTGCTAATTCAAGAACATTCTGATTTAAAAAAAAAACCAAACAGGAGAAACAGCAAATACTTTGTTGGCTTTACCTCTACTCCTCTATATCCATATTCAGTCATACATCTGGTTTATTCTGCACTGGAAAAGTCATCTTTCAGTAACTAATTTGTTCTACCCAGGTGTCTTAACCATATTTTATGTATTGGTATGCCAGTCAGTCCTTCTGTTATATAATATTTCTTTTGGCCAGGCTCGGTGGCTCAGCCTGTAATTCCAGCACTTTGGGAGGACAAGGCGAGTGAATTGCCTGAGCCCGTGGGTTCAAGACCAGCCCCGGCAATTTGGCGAGACCTCTTCTCTACAATAAATAAAAGAAAAATTAGCAGGGCGTGGTGGCGCGCGCCTGTGGTTCCGGCCACTTGGAAGGCTGAGGCAGAAGGATCGCTGGAGCCCAGTGGGTCGAGGCTGCGGTGGCCGTGAGCATGCCACTGCACTCCAGCCTGGGCGACAGAGGGAGACACCAACTCAAAAAAATATATATATTTCTTTTGTAAAGAAAGATAAGTTTCCCTCACTGTTTGTTGGTGTTATAACTTCTCACAGATATTATTTACTTTTGAGCCAGTTAAGCAAGTATTTGAGCCTTGTCAGGGTTCATATATGACCAAACTACTTCCTCTTATATTTGCCAAGTTCATGATATTGCCTTCCAAAGAAAAACTTTCAGGCTTTTTCTGTCTACCTCTTTCTTCACAAAACATATATAATATGTGAACTACTATTTAAATCTAACATCAACTTCTGAGGATGAAAACGAGTCAAATGATCCGTTTCTCCTCATTTAAAGATGGTGATCGTATGGGGATTAGGATCTAAGAATGAATGATGAATTCCCGACCAAATACTTAAAATTATTTATCTTTTGGAGCTTGGCCAACTGATGCCAATGTTCAAGGTCATCTAGAAACAAAAAAATGTGAGAATAACAGAGCAAATTCTAAAAAAATTCAATAATCAAAAAAACTCCCTTTACCACTTACCAAAATATGATATAAAACTATAGTAATGTAAAAAGTTTTACCCACGACGGGCACCATGGCTCAGGTCTGTAATCCCAGCACTTTGCGAGGCCAAGGTGAGAGAACTGCCTGAGCCCATGGGTTCGAGACCAGCCTGGGCAACATGGCGAGACCTCATCTATACAATAAATCAAAAATATTAGCTGGGTGTGGTGGCACATGCCTGTAGTTCCAGCTACTTAAAAGGCTGAAGCGGAAGGATTGACTAAGTGCAGCAGTTCAAGGCTGCGGTGGCTGTGAGCATGTTACTGCATTCCAGCCTGGGTGACAGAGTGAGACTCCAACTCAAAAAAAAAAAAAAAAGTTTGGCTAGTGAGACAAATTAATGAAATTAAATAAATTCCAGAATAGAACTGAAGACACTAAAGGTGGTATTTCAAATCATGGGGGAAAGCCAGTTGTGCATAAATGGCAGGACACTTGCCAACCTTTTAAAAAAAAGGTTGAATCCTTTTTTGCCATATATATTTTTGAGACAGGGTCTCATTGTGTAGTCCAGGCTGCAGTGCAGTGCTGTGATCATAGCTCACTGCAATGTCAACCTCCTGAGCCCAGGCGATCCTCCCCCTCAGCCTCTGGAGTAGCTAGGACTAAAGGCATACACGATGAGCCTGGCTAATTTTTCAATTTTTTGGAAATCAAGTCTCGCTTGGTTGTACTTGCTGGTCTCGAACTCTTGACCTCGAATGAGCCTCCTAACTCAGCCTCTCAAAGTGTTGGATGACAGGCATGAGCCTCCGTGCCTGGCTCCTTTTTGCAATTTTTTACATCGAGATATTTGTGTTTGGCATGGCAGCACTGTGGTGCTGGGAGTTTGTTTAGTTTGTCACTTGGAATGGCAGTGTTGTGCCTGTGAATACGCCTTGCATATTGCAGAACTGAAGAAAGTGTTACTTGTGGGCTAAAGAAGATAGAGTGCGAAGTGGAAAAAAACATTTCTGATACATTCTTCTGTTTAGCAGAGGAGTAAAGGCAATGGAGGTGGCTTGGAACATCTCCCTGTGCTGTGTATAGGGAGAAGGCCATCGGGGAAAGTACAGCAAAATGGTTTTGTCATTTCAAAGAGGGACACTGAGATTCTCCATGTCCAGGAGGACCATCGGGCTTTGACGAAGACCACGGAAATGCTTGAATCCATGATGATCCACATCAGTCAACCAGAGAACTGGCAAATGTGGTGAACTGTGACCAATCAACCATCGTGTGACATTTGCATTCCATGGGCAAGCAAAAATGCTATAAACTTATGCATCGACCCAGTATATTCCAGGTCAATGAGTAGTTTTTAAAAATAAAGAATGAAAACATAAAAGTATGAGAATAAAGCATTACAAGGAAACAAATAAAACTTTATAAACTTGGTAAATGACCCCTCTCCTTTTTTTTAAAGTCAGGGTCCAACTCTGTCAGCCAGGCAGGAGGGAGTGGCACAGTCATGGCTCACCACAGTCAACCTCAAGTGTGAGTTGGGCTCAAGTGATCCTTCTGCTTCAGCCTCCTTAGTAGCTGGGACTACAGGTGTGCGCCACCACACCCAGCTGATTTTTTTACTTTTGTAGAGAGAGGTCTCACTGTGTTGCCTAGGCTAGTCTTGAATTCCTAGGCTCAAGCAGTCCTCTTGCCTCTGCCTCCCAAAGTGCTGGAATTACAGGTGTGAACCACCACACCCAGCAGTAAATGCCTTTCAAGCATAAAACCAATAGTCCATAAACAGATATATTTATAAATTTGACTGTATAAAATTAAAACTTCTGCATAGTCAAAATGCCATAAACAAAGTAAACAGATAAATAGCAAAATGAGAAAAAAAACTTGTATCACATATTAGACAGATAAGCCAAATTGTAAAGGGTTCTTATGCATCAGTACGAATATAGAAGATCATTAATCCAGCCAAGCGTAGTAGCTCATGCTTGTCATCTCAGCCCTTTGGGAGGCAGAGGTGGGAGGAGTGCTTGAGCCCAGGAGCCTGGGCAACATAGCAAGACCTTGAGACCTTGTCTGTACAAAAATAATAATAATGATAATTGGCTAGACATGGTGAAACATACTTGTCCCAGCTCATTGAGTTGAAAGGATCGCCATGAGCCCAGGGCGGCAAAGTTTTGGTGAGGCATGCCACTACACTCCAGCTTGGATGACAGAGTGAGAGCCTGACTCAAAGAAGAAAAATAAAAAACTATCAGAAAGGGATTGGCAGTAGTGGGAAACTGCCAAGGGTGGGGGGGAGGACACACCTCATCAATAAGGGTACCTATCTCAAACCAGGTGAAATGGGGACCAAAATGAGGCCCAAACTTTACCTACAAAATGACCATTTGTATACCTAACCCTGAATTGTACCCCACAACTTCAAAATAAAGAAATAAACTTAAAAAAGAAGAAAAATTAAAATATGAATAATCCAGTAGAAAAATAAATGAAGGAAACAAGCAATTCCCAGAAAAAAAGCAATGGTCACTAAATACATGAATACTCAACTTCACTAATATGAAAGAATTGCAAACTAAAACAACGAGAAATGATGGTCTATTTGTAAGATCAGTATAGATAAAAACAATTTTTTTCCGGTTTGCAAGCGTGTGAGGGAACATGTTCCTGAGTATTGTTAGTAAGGATGGAAAGCAGCGAAACTTAAGAGGGTTTGGAGAACCTTGATAAAAGTAAAATGTACACATCTTTTGCACCAGCAATTATATGTCCAGGAAAACCCCAATCAACCATGCAAGCCTACAAATACGTAGACATGACAGTTGGGAGAATATTTGCTATTCTAACTATATTTAATTTTAGGCATAAGGCAGTTTCTAAATTTAGGTGCACCAATGAACGGTTATGTCTAGCTTTGCCTTGTTACCCAGCTATAAAAAGATCCTGGAGCATGAAAATAAAAGCAAGAAAAACAATTAAAATGCTGACACTCGAGAATCTAGGTCTGGACGGGCGCGGTGACCCACGCCCGTAATCTCAGCACTTTCGGAGGCAGAGGCGGAAAGATCGCTTGAGGCTACGAGTTCGAGACCAGCCTGAAAAATTTAGCGAGACTCCCCTCTCATCCCCCTAACCCCTGTCTCTAAAAATATCTGGACAGGCATTCTGATTCCCTTAAACGTCTTCTTTCTCTCCTTCTCTCTCTTTCGAGCCATAAATCCTTTAAAGAAACAACTCAGATCTGGGTAAGACCCTGGCCCTGACCGACAAGGGAGAAACTTACCGTGACACACCTGGAATAACGTCAGCCCAAAGACACTTCAGGAGTAACAGAAAACGCGCTCTCAAGACACAGGTCTCACGACGTTTCCGGTCCTGCACTTTCGCACAGTCAATGGGTCGTTAGAGGATGCACCGCAAACCTGCCTCAGCTACTGAGCATGCGGGAAATTTGGCGCAAGCGCAGAACAGCTACTTCCCGCTGACCACTCCAGAATCCCGACCCAGCGGGAAAATCCAGTTCCCCGGGTTTTCTGCAAGCTCGCTGCAGGTGTGTGCCACCTGTTGTAAAAGCAAAAGGCGTGTCTCCTTTTTAAAAGGTTGGTTCTGGTTTCCGGTGTCGTCCAGTCCACTTTGTACAGCTTACTCCTTTAAAATGTTCATTGGATTATCGATAGCGTTCTAAGAGGGCGACTAATTAACTAAGAACCTCTAGGGATCGGTGCACCGGCTTCACCAACAAAACTGTATGCAGAATTGTATTAAAGGTGGTTTTTTTATTTTTTTTTATTTTTTATTTTTTATTTTTGAGTTGGAGTCTCACTGTCGCCCAGGCTGGAGTGCAGCACGCTCACGGCCACCGCACCCTCGACCTGCTTAGGCGATACTTCCGCCTCAGCCTTCCAAGTAGATGGAATCACAGGCGCGCGCCACCACGTCCCGCTAAGTTTTTAATTTATTGTAGAGACGAGATCTTGCCAAGTTGCCCAGGCTGGCTTTGAACCCCTGGACTCAGGCAATCCTCTCGTCTCAGCCTCCCAAAGTGCTGAGATTACAGGCGTGAGCCACCAGGCCTGGCTTATTTTTTTTTTTAAGGCTTCCATTAAGTTTTTATAAGTATATATGTATCCTATAAAAGGTTGAGAACGACTGCCCTCAGCGCTTTTTGTTTGCTTGTCTATAAACCCTGGGAGATTTCCTCTCTTACTGGCCTGGTGTGGCATGTCAATGACTTTGCACAGGGGTGAAAAACTACTAAATTACTTTCATTGTCCTGCTAAAAGTAAAAACAAGCAAAGCCAAACATTTTTTAAAAATCTAAATTTATTTAGGCATTCACCATATATTTAAGGAGCACATTTTTTGTACCTGTGTTTATGTGTGCAAGGGGTTTAGGGAAGTGATATGTGATGATAAAGTGAGTAGGCAACGATTTCTTTTTTTGAGTCAGAGTCTCACTCTGTCACCAAGGCTGGAGTGCAGTGGCAGGATCATGGATCACTGCAGCCTGAACCACCTGGGCTCAGGCAATCTTCCCACCTCATGAGTAGCTAGGACTACAGGCACATGACACCATGCCCAACTTTTTTTTTTTTTTTTTTTTTGAGACAAGGTCTCACTATGCTGCCCAGGCTGGTCTGGAATACCTGGGCTCAAGCAGTCCTCCTGACTTGGCCTCCCAAAGTACTGGAATTACAGACATAAACAACCATGCCCAGCTGAACCCATTCATTTAAATACAAATTCTTCAACTGATTAGAAAACCAAACCCACTATCTTATTGTACAATTCAGGGCAAAAAAAGTTATTAAAGGGAGCCAAAAGTCATTTGGTTAAAGATATCCTTTATATTGATAAAGGCATCACTTTATTTTTTAAACACTCTAAGATTAAATAAGGAACTTGTGAGTATATGCTTAATTTTAGAAAGATGCAAACATGTCCAAGCCTTTTCTTAGAGTGTGGGTCCTCATATTGGAGTTCTGCTCTCTCTCTCCTGATAAAGCACAGCAATAATGCATCATTCCAATTTTGGGTTTTAGACACTTAAGAAAGCTCTAAGCACATAATCCTTACAGATTTTTGCGGTGTTTTCCCCATAATTATACTTGTTTTAGTTGACTTAAGTTAACAGAAGGGTTTTTTTGCTTTTGGTTTTTAACAACATGCCTTTACTGGACTCCTCAGAACTTTCAGCTTAGTTTTCATAAAAACAATGCCTTTTGCACTAAAAATTTATTGTGTTATTTTGCCAGAGTGATAATGGACAATTTTTCATTTGTTTCAGTTTGCTTCTGTGTGCTGTTCTGTAGCTCTCAAACAAACCATGATTTCTGTTTTTTAAGAACTCACCACAAAGCACTGTCAACAAATGGCTATCACACAATCTCACACAATCTCATTTGATTTTACTTACATAGTCTCATTTGATTTTCACAATAACCCGGTGAGTTAAGTCAGACCTGTTTGGGGAAAGGGTATTTACATATAACGTAGATGGTATTACTTTAATCACACATTGGTTTTTACTATGTGATATAACAAGTACAACTGGCATGAATAAGGACAAACACAACACACTTAAAGCATACAGCTGAACAAGTGGGAAGAAAAATCTGCAGTCAACCTAGAGAGTAGCCTTCTCCTACTCCTAGGAGAAGTGTAGTCTTTCACAGGTTTTACAAGGAAATAGAGAATAGTTGAATTCAGCAAGTTCTTAGGTAAAGGTTGGTTAGGCGAGTTTCTATATGAATACATCTTTATGCTATTGTAAGACTATAGCTGTAGGATAGATCCCAGATATGAAACTGTGGGTCAAAGGCGAAGAGCATTTTAAATGGTGGTAGATATTGCTAAATTGCCATTCAAAAACATGGTACAGGCCGGGCTCGGTGGCTCAGTTTTTAATCCCAGCACTTTGGGAGGCGGAGTTGAGCGGATTGCCTGAGTCTGCGGGTTCGAGACCAGCCCGAGCAACTAGGCGAGACCTCAATAAAGCAAAACTTAGCTGGGCGTGATAGTGCACGCCTGTAGTTCCAGCTACTTGGAAGACTGAGGCGGAAGGATCGCCGGAGCCCAGCAGGTAGAGGCTGTGGTGGCCGGGAGCCTGCCACTGCACTCCAGTCTGGACGACAGAGTGGGACTCCAACTCAAAAAAAAAGATGGTACATACCAACAATCTACTTTTGCACACTATCCCAAACACTGTTATCAGACTAAATTTTTGCTCTAATCTGTTGGAAGAAAAATTGCATGTGTAAACTACATATCAAACTTCGAAGATTTTGAATGAAGTGGAAGAAAGTAATATATAATATATCTTAATAACTTTTCATTGACCACATGTTGAAGTGATACAATCATATGTTGTGTTACATAAAGAAAATACAGAAAGTGCCAAAAAATGCATACACACTTTAAGAAAGAAAAAATACTATTAAAATATTAATACTCAAAATATTCTGATAAAAGATGAATACAAGTCACGGTTGACTTCTGCAATTACAAGAGGTGCTGACACTTCTGATTATGGCGAACTGAAAGTAATACATAGTTAACACGGCTTAAAAAGTGTATACATTTTGGGGGGCACTCCCGTATATATTTAAGAAGCAGGGCAGTGTGATTAGAATACGAGCCACACCCTTCCCCGGCCCTTGGAGCCGGCCCCGCCTCCCGACGGCTGCAGCGAAGACCCGGAGGTTGTTCTGTCAGCGCCGGCTCCGCGAAGGCCGCGCCCCCGGCTGCCTCTCCGCCTCTTCCGTCTCCTAAGCGCGTGCGCCCTCTTCCACGGCTCGCAAGTTTTTTTGGGCGGGGGGCGCGGGGGAGTCCTCGCAGCATCGGGGCGGGAGCCAAGGCCTCCGTGCTCAGTCGGTGGTCCGGCTTGCTCCGCCATGCGCTGGGCGCTGCGCCCTCGCGGGCCGGGGACGGCGGCCCTGGCCGTGGCCCGGGGTGTGTGGGGGCCGCCCCGCCTTCCGCGTCGCTCGGGATGGCTCGGGACGACAGACAGGCTTCTGGTGCGGCCGGTCACCGGGGCCAGTAACCAGCTGCCCAGCTCCAATAGTGGCAGGTATCGGGACACGGTGCTGCTGCCGCAGACCAGCTTCCCTATGAAGCTCCTGGGCCGCCAGCAGCCGGAGACGGAGCTGGAGATCCAGCAGGTAGGGCCCCAGAGGGAGGCCCGCCCCGGCCCGGGGAACGGGTTCCGCGGGAGCCACACCTCTGCCATCCACATCCGAGCGGGCGGGATGTTGCGACCAGATCCATGGGAATCGTCCGCTTCCCACTGGTTTTATTGGCTGAAAACCTAAGGGAAGAAATCTCTAGATGAGTTCCTCTGAGTTAGCAGGTTCTGGAGCTGGATATTAAGGGGGACGCTAGCCCAGGTACCAGCATGCATCGAATATACGTCCCATTTCTAGCATAGGTAAAACAAATGAACTTAGGACACTTTTCTGGTGACGAGTAAAAGTTAAATTAACATGTGCACATGTAAATAAAAATTCAACTGTAAGGAATAAGGGGAAGTTGAAGCCCACCTTTGTTGGATCCCTAGGTCCCTAGTTGGAATTATGACTTTTTTGAAAGATAAAGTAGCGATACTTTCTCTGAGTCCCCTTCGTAGGTGCGTCTGTCTCCTGTATTAGACTGAGCTTTCTAGGGCAGAGATTTTCTTGTTAGCTTCTGTAATTCTCTAGTCCTTTAAAATCCCGGATATTCTGGAAATATTGGTTAAATAAATATGCTTAGCCTAAATATTTTTATGACAGTTACTACGGTTCAAAATTCACAGCCTGTTTTGGCCATCTGATTTTTTTAAGTATATTTATTCATTATCTTCTGTATGCCATGCAGAATGACAGTTTCACGTTTTCTCGTTTAATCTTCACACTAGCCCGGTAAGATGGATATTATTAACCTTTTTTTTCAGATGAGGAAACAGGCCCATCAGTGCACAGTGAGTTGGTCAAGGTCACACAAGTGAGGGAAAGGGAGTGAGATTGCAATGAGTGTTGTTCCCAGATTTGAGGAATGATAAGTGTTGAGGGCAAAGAATAGCAAGAATGAGTGGATGAGGGATCTGCAGGTCCTTCACAGGGCAGGAGTGAAAATGAGGTATGATAAATCCCGAGAGACTGCCCAAGAATTCAGTGGTACTACACCTATGTAGGGTCCTGCATACAATATGAAGAGTTTAGACTTCAATCTGAAGTCTATAGGGGAAACCATTGAAAGGTTTTAGGGGAAGAATACGTGGATGTGCATTTCAGAAACCTCACCTTGTATTTCAGAGTTAAATAGATAGGAATGGGATAAGAAATAAGGAATCGTAGGCTGTTATTTATGGTAAGTTTCAGGAGTCTGTATTTGTATGATGCTTAGACATTGTTCTTTTCAAACAGAAATGTGGATTTTCAGAACTTTATTCATGGCAAAGAGAAAGAAAAGTTAAGACAGAATTT